CTCCTGTTTGTGGTATATTCTTGTCAGAGTGGCTCCAGGGAACCAGAACAGTTGACTATGCAAAGGCATGCAGCTTTGTGGATCATAACACATTATAGATAACATGGCAAAGAATGGGAAAGTCAGGACGCTTCACTGTGCTCGTGAGGAATCTGTACATTGACCGAGAAGCATTTGAACAGAACAAGAACATGCTCCTTGGTTTAAAGTCAGGAAAGGTTTGCATCAGAATTGCATCCTTTCACCGTACTTATTCAATCTCTTTGCTGAGCAAATAATCTGAGAAGCTGGACTACACGAAGAAGAACACATCAAGATTGGAGGAAGACTCATTAACAAGCTGCGATATGCAGATGACACAACCTTGTTTGCTTAAAGTGAAAAAAATTTGAAGCACTTACTGATGAAGAAGACTACAGTCTTCAGTATGGGTTACACCTCAACACACAGAAAGCAAAAATCCTCACAACTAGACCAATAAGTAACATCACGATAAACAGAGAAAAGATTGAAGTTGTCAAGGATTTCATTTTACTTGGATCCACAATCAACACCCATGAAAGCAGTGGTCAGGAGAGCAAGCGACATATTTCATCAGACAAATCTGCTGCAAAGGACTTTTTTCAAACGTTAAAAAGCAAAAAATTCACTGTGAGGACTAAAGTGTGCCTTGTCCAAGCTGCGGTGTTTTCAGTTGCCTCATATGCATGGGGGAGCAGACAGTGAAGGAGGAAGATCGAAGAAGAATCGATGCCTCTGAATTATGGTCTTGGCCAAAAATAGTGAATGGACTGTGGACTGCCGGAAAGAACAAATCTGTGTTGGAAGAACTACAGCCAGAATGCTTCTTAGAAGCAGGGATGGTGAGACTTCACCTCCTGTACTTCGGATATGCTATCAGGAGTGACTGGTCCCTAGAGAAGGACATCCTACTTGGTGAAGTTGTTGTTACTGTTACGTGCTGTCGAGTCATCTCCAACTCATAGCGACCCTATGTACAACAGAAAGAAACACTGCCCAGTCCTGCCCCAGCCTCACAGTCCTTGCTATACCTGAGCCCATCGCCACAGCCACTGTGTCAGTCCATCTTGTTGAGGGCCTTCCCCTCTTTCGTTGACCCTCCGCCCTACCAAGCATGACATCCTTCTCCAGAGAACGGTCCCTTCTGACAGCATGACCAAAGTAGGTGAGACAAAGTCTGGCTATTCTCGCTTCCAAGGAGCATTCCGGCTGCACTTCCTCCAGGACAGATTTGTTAGTTCTTTTAGCAGTCCACATACTTTCAGCATTCCTCGCCAACACAACCACTCAAAAGCATCGAATCTTCTTCGGTCTTCCTTATTCATTGTCCAGCTCTCACATGCATATGAGGCAATTGAAAATACCATGGCTTGGGACAGGCACACCTTAGTCTTCAAGGAGACATCTTCGCTCTTCAGAACTTGAAAGAGGTCTATTGCAGCAGATTGGCCCATGCAATATGTCTTTTGATGTCTTGGCTGCTGCTTCCATTGGCACTGATTGTAGAACCTGGTAAAGTAGAGGGTCGGAAGAAAGAGGAAGACCTTCAGGGAGATGTGTCAACTGTGTCTTCAATAATGGGCTCAAACACAGCAACTGTTGGGAGGACAGCACAGGACGGGTAGGGTTTTGTTCCTTTGTGCATGTGTATCGGGATACTGTGAGTCAGGACTGACTGGACAGCACCACCAACACCAGTTTTAGTCCCTCCTTGTTTTAAAGTCCTCCAAATTAATTTCTTACAGTTAATGCTTCTTCAGCTCTACCAATATGTTGACCAATTTCTTTCCTAACTATGACCTTTTTGTAAACCCCACCTTCTGGATTCCACTTCCTTCTCACTAAAGCCATCCCTTCAACAAAGGTCTGCAGGTGGGAAACTGTTTTTGTTTGTTGAAAAAGATGTGCATTTCACCATCATTCTTGAATTGTGATTGAACCTGGTATAGGCTTCTTGACTGGCAATTATCTTTCCTCCATACTTTGACCAGTTTATTCCATGTATTGTTGCCAATGAAAAGTCTTTGGTAAGTCTGCTTGTCTTTTGCAAGTAATCTGGCTTTTCTCTCACTTTTTAAGATTCTCTGTCATTTCACTGGTATGTATCTAGGTATAGATTTATTTTTATTTACCCTGATTTGGTTTCAGTGTACTCTTTCAATCTGGGGACTTAAGGCTTTGTTCAGTTTTAGAGAAATTCTGCCATCATCTCTTTGAATATGGCCCCATGTCCACATTTTCTTTTCAAGGCATCTAATGACTTTTTTTTTTTTTTTAATTGTGATTTGGGTGAAAATTTACAGAGCAAATTCACTTTCCATACAGCAGTTCACACACACGTTGTCTCATGACATTGACCACAATTCACCACAAGGCAACAGCTCCCCTCCCACTTCCTCCTGATAGTTACCTCCATGCACCCCTGACCCCTGAGCTATCTCCCTGTGAATAAACAGCCCTTCTTTCTCCCGTGATTGTTCTTTCCAAGGAGTATATTTACCTCAGGTACATACTCAACTCACATGCCTGTCTTTTGTTTGGCTGGAAGCCACAGATGTGGGTTCAATTCCAGACCCAAAGGGCAGCTAGGGACCATAGTCTCAGTGGTTGCACCAGGCTCTATTAGACCAGCAAACCTGGTTCCTCCCTTTTTTTTTTCCGAAATGATTTTGAGTTTTGTTCCACATTGTTCTCCCTCTCTATCCAGGATCTCCTACATAGATTCCCCTCCGAGTGGTTGACAGTGGTAGCTGGGCACCATCTAGTTCTTCTGGTCTCATAGTCGTGTAGGCTGCAGATAGCATGGTGTACCAGTCACTAGGACTACTTCTTTCCATGAATCTTTGGTTTTCTTCATTCCTCTTCACTCTGGACGGGGAGAGACCCACAGCTGCATCTAGATGGCTGCTTGCTAGCCCTTAAGATCCCAGTCGCCACTCGTCAAAGTAGGAGGTGGAACAATGTTCTGTGTAGTATGTCATGCCAATTGAGCTTAATGTCCCCTGCAACTATGGTCCCGAGCCCACAGGATCAACTACTTGGTCCCTATGGATAGCTGGCTGTGATGAAGAAGTGACTATAACCTTATCCCTTGTCAGCTCTGCCATACACCTGGGAATTCAGATCATACAAATACACTTGTAGGGCCATTGCCAAGACATCTAATGACTTTTAACTACCCTTTAACATTTTATACTTTGTATCCCTCAGAGCTACATTTGGGGTGATGTCTCAGATGTAACAGCTTCCTATTCATCACATGAATAGGAGATGACTGGATGACACACAACAGTCATTACAGATCTCCTACATTGTGTCTAATCTGCTGTTGAACACAGCCATTGACTTTTTTGGCCCTTCCACTGGCTATCTCTCTGCTTTCCAGCAGTTCAGCTGGGCTCTCTTTTAAACGTCCCTGTTCTTCCTTCACACTGTCCTGTTAGTGCCCGTTGGCCTCTCTTCCTTCTTGATCTCAACATTGTTGACATTTTTTTTTATGGTCTCATTAGACTGTTCTATTCTCTGCACTTTGGGGCCCTAATTCTCCTGTTTGCTGCATCTGCTGAGTCCCCCTCATGGTGGTCTGTTCCTTTTGCCTTCTGTCACTTTTCATCATGAGTTCCTCATCTTCAGGGTTGGTGGGACATTTTTAGTTCTCAGTGTCCTAGGTTCGGAGCGCTCCCCCCCTTCCTAGCTTCCTGGTTTCTTCAGCTTTTCACCCTACGGTGGTAGACCACACTCTCGCTAGGAGTCTCAGTTTTCTACCACCTAAGGCCCTGGAGGTCTAAGCAAGCTTCCTTGCTTTCTTGGGCCGGTAGGTGGAACTGTATTTTAGTCCCCTTTTCAGGAACAGGGTAACCCTTTGAGGTCCCGGGCTGCACTCAGGAGGTTCATTTCTGGCCCCTGCACTCTTACAAGGAGCTCTAGTAGCATAGTGGCTAAGGCACTTGACTGCTAACCAGAAGGCCGGCGGTTCAAACCCACCAGCCACTCCTCGGAAGGAAGATGGGGCAATCTACTTCCGTAGTGATACTGCCTCAGAAACCCAAGAAGGGGTCGCTATGAGTCGGGGCCGACTCGATGGCACATAACAACAACAACAGCACTCTTACAAGGAGCTCTAGTAGTGTAGTGCCTAAGGCACTTGACTGCTAACCAGAAGGCCGGCAGTTCAAACCCACCAGCCACTCCTCGGAAGGAAGATGGGGCAATCTACTTCCGTAGTGATACTGCCTCGGAAACCCAAGGGGGGTCGCTATGAGTCGGGTTGACTTGATGGCACATAATAACAACAACAACAGGTAAAAGGAGTGGTCCCTCTGGGCTCATCTTTGAATGTTGCCAGCACCAGGGAATTCCCTCCCTCCTAAGGGGCTAGAGAGAGGCTCATCTTGCTCACACTGGTGCTATGGTTTGACTGTGTCAGCCCTAACCCCAAACCTGGGGTTGTAATCCCTTTTGAGAATTTTTTTTTATGTTAATGAGAGTGTTAGTAGGCTGTATCTTCCATCAATCTCTTTTAAGATATAAAAGACCAGATGAAACAAGCAAGCACCAGGCAGGGAAGATACACGCCACACGACCTCCAAGGGACCTCGGAGCGGAAGCTGCAAAGAGACAAGGACCTTGCCCCAGAGCCAACCGAAAGGAAAAGCCTTCCATTCGGGCCGGCGCCCTGAAATTAGACTCCCAACACCTTTGAACTGTAAGAAAGTAAGTTTTCGTTTATTTAAGCCACCCACTCGTGGTTTTCTGTTACAGCGTCACTAGGTTAACAGACACCGGGGACTGGCGGCTTGGGTGGCGGGAGGTGGGGGTGAGTGGACAGTGACCTCAGGAGCAGACCGTCTGGCCAGATATGGTGAGGGGTTGGAGAACTAAGCGTGGACCGTCTCCTTCATCCCTGGGGAAGGGGATGGAGGGGGGCGGTGCCTCTCGGAGGCGCATGCGCACCAGGAACCTTGCTGCCTCCTGGCGTCTCAGTGGGTGTTGAGCATCAACAGGAACTCTGCGGGAGAGAGGGGGCGGGGATTGGGCCGGAGGGGGCGGGGATTGGGCCGGAGGGGGCGGGGATTGGGCCGGAGGGGCGGGGATTGGGCCGGAGGGGGCGGGGATTGGGCCAGAGGGGCGGGGCATCCGGCCCCCGGCCCTGGAGGCTCTGGACACAGCCTGGGAAGAGGGGACCGGGCGCCGTCTGGTTGGGAGTCTCACCGTCAAAGTCCACGGTTCCGTCCCCATTGAGGTCCACCTCGCGGAGCACCTCGTCCAACTCGGCTCCCGCCAGCGGCTCCCCCAGCAGAGCCGGCATTGCCTCCCGCAGCTCCGCCACCGTGATCCGTCCATCCCTGTCCTTGTCGAACTAGGGTCCAGGCAGAGCTCAGCGTCCCCACCCAAAAAGGCCTCTGCCTGCACCTGTCTCTGCTCCTGCCACTCACTGCCTCTGCCCGGATGCCCCAGTCTTGGCCCTTCCGAGCACTCTCTGTCCTCCCAGGCTGAGACAGGACGCCCCCTCCTCCAGGAAGCCTTCCTGGGATGGCTTTCCCAGCTGGGAGTGAGCCGAACCCTCTCCGATCCCTCCCTGCGGGGCTCTGGGTGCCCAGGGGACTGAGGTCCCTGGGGTCTCCTGGCCCGAGTGGGGGGCCAGCGAGGACGCCGTCCACCACTCCCACTCTGCCCGCCTGCCCAAGACCCACCTCTTGGAAGGCGACGCGCAGCTCCCGCACCCCCAACATATGCGCGGTCTCCTCCCGCAGCTTCGGGCCCATCAGTTCCACGAACTCCTCGAAGTCCACGCAGCCACCCACTGGGGACCCAGGCAGAGCAAGCATCACAGTGAGGAAGGAGGACTGGGCCTCAAGGACAAGTCAGAGGGCCAGCGCCTCCCGGGAAGGAACACCAGAGTCCAGGGCCGCAGGGGGCCGGGGGAGGCTGGAGCCTCCTTACTTGGGCCGCTGGGGGCCAGGGGAGGCTGGAGCCTCCTTACCTGGGCTGCTGGAGGCTGGGGCGCCTTCTGCTCTCGGGGTTCAGGAAAGACATCAGGCTTTGAGCCAGACAGCCCTGGGTGCCTCTGCGGCTGACCATGCATGACCTTGGGTGTCTTACGAGACCTCCCTTCCTCCTGCTCAGTGGGGGCTGAGGGAACCTGCCCTCCTCCCCAGGAATCGGGATGAGAGCTCACAGCTACAAATGCTGGGGCCCCTTCAGCCTGTTCCCTAGAGCCAGTCCCGACTCACACGCAGCAACCCCATGTGAATCACAGCGGAACCGAGCTCCACGGGGCTTTCAATGGCTGTCTCTTCAGGTGGACACGCCTTTCCTCCTAGGTGTCTGGGTGGACTCCAACCTTTCCCTGAACAACCAACCTCTAACCTTTTGTCCCATCAGGGACTCCTGGAGCCCACAAAACCAATGTACATGTCCCTGAACACTGACAGCACAGAGTCACTCAGTTCTAAGATGCCACCAGTTGTGAAAACACCAGTGGCCAACTGGTGGGTTAGTGGGAGTTCCAGAGATGGGGTTCACCAGCCCTCGGGAGATGCCTTCCCTCCTCCCATGGTGACCCCAATTCAGGCAGCAGCCGCCAGGGCATGGAGGGTGCGGACATGACGACCCACAGCCTCCGCTACTGGACAGGGTCACAGAGCAGGTAGGAGAGAGAGAAAGAGAGTGAAGGGGACACTTTATCAAGGAGCCCAGGTGCCTGGGCCTGGATGGCAGGACGGGGTGAGGAGAGAGGGGAGGCGAGCAGTGGCCCAGCTGACACTCAAGCCGAAGGCCCCTCTCGCACCTGGGTGCCCTCCTCACCCCTTGTCACACCAGGAGGTGGGAGCTTGGATACTGGTGTCCCTGCATTGGACGGGGCCCCTGGAAACTGCCATCTTCTTCACCTCCCTGCGCCCGTGAGGGATCCCAGAGCCAAACAGACCCTCAGAGGCCACCCCCACCCCTTGGCTGCCCCCTAGAACCGGGAGGCATGGGAAGGACGAGGGGTGCCACGGGCAGGGCCTGTACTCACTACGTATCTTGACGTGCTGCGAGATCTCAATGAGCTCCATCTCTGTGGGCATGTAGCCCAGCGTCCGCATGCAAGCGCCCAGGTCCCGGTAGCCGATGTAGCCGTCCTGGTCAGTGTCAAACTCCTGGAAGGCCACCTGCAGCTCTGAGGGAGGGGTGGTGGTGTCAGGCCCTGGTGCCGGGCTTCAGGAACCCCCCACCCAGCCCCAGCAAAGGGCCACTCACCATCCAGCTCCTCCGGGCCCAGCTCACGGTCCTGCAGGGGGATAGCCATCATGTCCCCAGGCCAGTCACAGCTCTGTCCCCATCCCGTCCCTCCCTCTCAGCCACTGCCCAGCCCTTGTCCATGATGGCCACAGAAAAGCCTGTGGGCAAGGCCAACACACAAAGGCTGGGGGCAGGAATTTGGATGCTGGTGGGCCCCACGAGGACAGAGGGACCCATTCCTGCCCCCCACAGAGCCTTGTGTTCTAGCCCAGCCCCACAACCCAGATCAGCCTAAGACCTAAACCAATCAAAACCAAAGCCACTGTTGCCCAGTAGATTCAACTCACAGCAACCTGATAGGACAGAGTGGAACTGCCCCCAGAGGGCTTCCGGGGCTGTCAGTCTTCACAAAACAAAGCCCCAACCACACCCACTGCCTTGGAGTCCATTCTGACCCACAGCGCCCCTAGAGGACAGAGTGGAACTGCCCACAGGGTCTCCAAGGCTGTCAATCTTCACGGAAGCAAAGCCCAAACCACACCCACTGCCATGGAGTCCATTCCGACCCACAGCGCCCCTAGAGGACAGAGTGGAACTGCACCACAGGGTTTCCAAGGCTGTCAATCTTTACAGAAGCAGACTGTCACATTTTTCTCTTGAGGAGCGGTTGGTGGGTTTGAACCAACGACTTTTCAGCTAGTAGCCTGTGCTTAACCACTGCACCACCAGGACTCCCAGCCTGACACCTGCCCCTCCCCAGACTGCAGGACCCTGGCCCACGGAGTCTAGACTTTCTCAGTCTGGGCAAGAGGTCTGAGCACTAGGGGCAGTGAGGGCCCACCCTCCACCCAGCCCCAGCCCCACCCAGGCCCTGCCTGACCTTCCCAAAGACCTGGTCGAGCAGGGGCCCATACATCCTCTGGGCAGCTTCTTGTTGAGGGTCAGGACGGTGCCGGTGGGACTGGCGACGAGAAGATGCCGTCCTGGGGGCTACAGGGGGTGCCTCCTCCCGCCCCTCCCCAGTCCTGGTGGGTGTCCTGCTGCTGCCCAGGCTCTCAGTTCTCTGGACAGGGGTCTGCTCCCCAGAGCGGCCCGTGCCCTTTCGGGATCCTTGATGCTTCATCTCCTTCTTGCTTCTCCTCTTGGTTGAGGACGGCCCCTCAGCACCACCCCTGGGAGCCACTACCCCTGCAGGGCGTTCCTGGGGGCGGGAGGCCAAGTCTGAGCCTGCATGGCCCCTCGCCTGCTCTGTGGCCATGTGGGAAGGGCAGCTGGGCTCTGAGATGTAGCCCAAGGGGCACCCTTGGGTCTCAGGACCCACAAAGCCTCTTATACCCCCTCATGCTGGGAGCCAAAGGCCTGGAATCAGCCCTGAGAGGGATTAGGGTAAGTGAGGCTGGCAGTCCAGGCCCTAATCCCAGCCCCCTGCTGGGGCTTGGCCAGGGCACAGCCAGGTAGGTCCAAAGGACTGCAGTTAGCAGCAAGGGGCGGGGAGGGAGCAATCGGCCTTGAACTCCAGCTCAACCACTTATTACCTGGGGAACCCAGCAATCAAATCTTGCCAATTGTTAGCTTCTTCGCCTATGAAATTGGAAGAATCCTGCTGAAAAAGAGTTCTGGTAGCATAGTGTCTAAGGCACCTAACTGCTAACCAGCAGGCTGGTGGTTCAAACCCCCCAGCCACTCCTCAGAAGGAAGACTGGGCAATCTACTTCCATAGAGATACTGCCTCGGAAACCCAAGGGGGGCTGTTGTTTACGAGTCGGATCTGATATGACAGCAGTGAGTTTGGTTTTGGTTTGTTGCTGAAAGGTCAGGGCCTGCTGCTTGGGAACTGGGCAAGGCTTCACTGGAAAAGTGACAGCACCTTCGGCAGGACAGAGTGTGGGCAGAGCTGGGCAGTGCGAAAGGACAGAGCCAGTTGCCCCCTGGGACCTCTTGTGGAGTGACTCCTGGCTGGAACAGAAAAACAAAACAGAAAAACTAAACCAGTTGCTGCCCAGGTGGCTCTGACTCACGGTGGCCCATGTGCTTCAGAGAGCTGGAAAAACTCACGAGGTTTTCAATGCCTGAAGCGAATCACCAGACGCACATCTGGGTGGATTTGAACTCCCAACCCTTGGATTAGTAGCTGAGCACTTCCCCATTTACACCCCCGGGGCCTTGGCTGGACTAGAGGGAGTGTGCGATTGCGAAAGACAGGCCTGCTCACAGTGCCTGGAACGCAGGGTGAGGGGCACGGCGTGAGGTCAGAGGAGGCAGGTGCTTGGGGTCCCACAGCCTGCCTTGGGCTGGAGCAGCCCAGGGTGAGGGGGCCTGGCTGGTCACTTGGCCTACTGGCCCACGGTTAGAGTTTCCCGAGAGCAGTACCATGAAAGATTCATGTCCTGTCGGCTTGGGTTTCGTGCCCGACTGCCTTAGCACCGCTGGGTGCCATGCAGCAGGCCCCAGCGTGGGGCCATGCGGACCGTGGACCACTGGGCTGGCAGGTACGCCCTGCTTCCTCTGGCCGTTGGCCTGCACCTCACAGGTAAGCCAGCCCTCGCCGCTCCAGGCCTGGGGCCCACGGTTCTGACCCAAAGGGGCTGGAGCTTGCGGAGTGGGGTCTGCCTAAGGGAGAGCCCTGGGGGGCACTGGGCTGAGGGCCAAGGGACCAAAGTCAGGGGCTATAGGACTTTGCTTTCTGGGCCATTGGCTTCCTCTGGGCTGGGCTGGGCTGGCCCAGGGCTTCCTCCACCCTCAGTGGGTGGGTGGGGGCAGCAGGCCTCTTGGGTCCCAGGCCTCCTGCTCCATCACCCTCACCTTGCTGCCATCTGCCTCTCTCTCTGCTTGGTAGCCCTCCGGGAAGGGGAGAGAGGGTCACAGGAAAGGGGGCTCACCCTGAGGTCATGAGGAACACTTGCTGTGGGGGAGGGGCCTGCTACTGTCCCAGACCCAGTCTACCCTTGGATTCCTATGGGCCCCCAGAACCCCTAGCCCTTCCCCCTAGAATGGCAAACCCTTGAACCCCAGGATACAAAATAAAAGTGGGGCTTGAAATGAGGAAGCCGAGTGTCTTCAAACTGTTCCCTGAAACCCGAGCGGGGGTTCTCCCCTCTTTTAATCTGAACACCCCCTTTCGGTTCATTTATGAGCTCCACTACAGTAACACACTTCAGGAGAAGACTGAATGGCTTAAAAATACGTTTGGGGGATCTGGCAGGGGTGGGCACCCTGGGTGTAGTGGGGTGGACGGTTAGGTCTGGGTGTGAGTCTTGGCATCTCCCTCCCTGCCTGTGACCCCGGGCAAGTTACTGAGCCTCTCCACTTTCCCCTCCTCACCTGCAAAATGGATTGTCTGAGGCCTATATCCGGTGGCTGGCTTACACTAATTATCCAGAGTGGGGCAGCGACTTGCCTGAGGACACACAGCGCTGTCTGATTACCATTACTCATTCACCAGGCACTCCCGCCGCACCCAGTGAGCCCTTGGGGACCTCAGATGGACCCTGCTACTGGAGCCAACCTGGGTGCTGCCAGCCGTGGGCCCCGCACGGCGCTCGATGATGACGATGACTATTACCCCCAGGGTGGCTGGGACACGGTCTTCCTGGTGGCCCTACTGCTCCTCGGGCTGCCGGCCAACGGGCTGATGGCGTGGCTGGCCGGCTCGCAGGCCCGGCACGGAGCAGGCACGCGGCTGGCGCTGCTCCTGCTCAGCCTGGCACTCTCCGACTTCCTGTTCCTGGCGGTGGCCATCTTCCAAATCCTCGAGATCCAGCACGGAGGTCACTGGCCCCTGGGGACGGCTGCCTGCCGCTCCTACTACTTCCTGTGGGGCGTGGCCTACTCCTCCGGCCTCTTCCTGCTGGCGGCGCTCAGCCTGGACCGCTGCCTGCTGGCACTGTGCCCGCGCTGGTACCCGGGGCGCCGCCCGGCCCGGCTGCCCCTCTGGGTGTGCTCGGGGGTCTGGGTGCTGGCCACACTCTTCAGCGTGCCCTGGCTGGTCTTCCCCGAGGCCGCCGTCTGGTGGTACGACCTGGTCCTCTGCCTGGACTTCTGGGACAGCGAGGAGCTGCCCCTGCGGATGCTGGAGATCCTAGGCGGCTTCCTGCCCTTCCTCCTGCTGCTCGTCTGCCACGTGCTCACCCAGGCCGCCGCCTGCCGGCCCTGCCGCCGCCAGCCCGGGCCCCCGGCCCACCACGGCTTCGCCCGCGTGGCCAAGACCATCCTGTCGGCCTACGCGGTCCTGCGGCTGCCCTACCAGCTGGCACAGCTGCTGTACCTAGCCTTCCTATGGGACATCTACCCCGGCTACCTGCTCTGGGAGGCCCTGGTCTACTCGGACTACCTGGTCCTCCTCAACAGCTGCCTCAGCCCTTTCTTGTGCCTCTTAGCCAGCGCTGACCTCCGCGCGCTACTGCACGCGGTACTTTCTTCCTTCGCGGCAGCTCTGTGTGAAGAGCGGCCCGGAAGCATCACGCTGGCCCAGCCACAGACCCAACTGGACTCTGAGGGCCAGATGCTGCCAGGGCCCACGGCTGAGGCCCAGCCACCACTGGATTCCACAGCCCAGCTACCGCTGGATTCCACGGCCCAACCACCGCCGGATTCCACAGCCCGGCCACAGGGAAACCCTGAAGCCCAGACCCTTGGCTCCACTGTCCACTCAGCCACTAGCCCCAGTGATGAGCCCTCTCCTGCCCCATCCACCGATCTCGCCTCAGGAACCCCTGAGACCCCAGCCACACCTGTCATCTCTGCAGGAGAAAGCCCCAGCAGTGCCCCCCCAGACGAGGCCCCCAGTGCAGGTCCCACGTGAGGGACCAGGAAAGGCCAGGGCCTCAGGGCATCGAAGAGCCGAGGGAGAGGGAGAGTAGCCGGTCACGGGAAGCAGGGCTGTGGAGGACATCACCAAGGAAAACCCCACAGAGTCCCTCGATCCTGAAGCAGGACTGGGGGAAGTGAAACGGAGCAGCGAGCCAATCTGGGGTGAGCGTCCCCTGCCGGGCCCCCTAAGCGCTTCCCTAGTCGCCCCCGAGAAACCTCTTCACCTCCTGAGCCACAGCTGATGGCATCTGCTGGGTCTGCCCTCCAGCACCCCGAGACCCCACTGACAATGTCCCCTCTGGCTGAGCCCAGCAGCAGGAAGATGAAAAAGGACTTCCCTGCCTTCCCTTTCATCCTTCCCTCTCTTCCTCTCACCCCATCTGTCCTCCAGCACAAGGAGGCCAAAGAAGGGAAGTTCCTGCACAGAAGAGAGGCAGCCAGCAGCCATTCTTGGCTGCAAACAGGAGTCTGAGGTCCTAGTGGGCCACAAGTTGACCTGACACAGTCATGGCCTCTCCGCCAGCTTCCCACCCCCAGAGAGGCTGAGGGAAGATTCCCCTCAGTAAGGTGGCTGGGAGCAGAGGCAAGAGCCCCCAGGTCTGGATTTGAAGTCCGCCCTGCCCCGTCCTAGCTGGTTCCCTCCAGACAAGCTCCTCCAGCCTCTGAGCTCCTGTTTCTGTATCTGCAGAGTGAGCTCTTGCGAGGGTTGATCAAACGTGTGGGAGGTGCCCAAGAAAAGCCCAGCACAGAACAGGGACTCAGGGCACAACATCCTCGTCTCTCAGCGACACACAGGTCTCCCTTCAGGGGCTTTGGGCCTGAGCATCTGGGATCCTGTGAGCATCAGGACAGATCACCCGTCCCCATGGCAGACACCTGGGTAGCCCGAAGGAGCGCGGGACCACCTCTGCTTGTGGGGGCTACAAAGGACTTCAAAGTCTGACTTCAGGGCTCAGCTGGGGTCCCCTGCCCCCAAACCCACCACAGTGGGTACAGAGTGCTCAGTCTGCCGGTGTGGTGACACTCCCTCCCCCCAGGCCCCTTCTAGGTGGGCAGTCCAGGGCACAGGCTGAAGGATGTCCCGGCTCTGGGTGCCAGGGGGTCGAGTGAGGGCAGAGGTCCCCTGGAGGTCACACAGCACCTCTGAGCAGAGCCAGCCTCTTCCGATGCATGATGCTGCATGAGAAACGAGGAAGTGCCGAAGGTCCCAGCCCACTTCTCTTTTCACACTGCCACCCGCTTCTGGCACCCACCCCGCTTCTCTGAAGCCCCAGTGCTAGAGAAGAACCGTGACTGTTTCCTCTTCATCACCAGCTCCCTGTTCCCTCCGTTAGTTCAGGGCCGTGGCCGTCAGCAGCTGAGAGACACCCTCAGTGACATTCCACGCACTGCCTTCCCTGGGGGCTCGGCTGGGCAGGCAGCCTGGAGCCGTGCAGTCAGGGCCAGGCCTCCGTTTTCCGCTCTGTAAATTGGGCGCGATGGCCTTCGCCTCACTGGGCTGCCTGCTGTGATTATGAAGTGAGCCCCTGGCTGGGAAGCCTGCTGGTGGCTGGTGCTGGTGGTGTCCTAGCAGCACTTCCGAAGGTCATTGAGGCACTGAGGCAGGTGGCAGATGGGTTTCTGAACAAGCTGGAAATCGCTCACCCAGCAAATCTTCCCGGAGCACTTCCGGTGCCTTCCCGCCACGCCCCTGTTTCTGAGTCACGTGGGAGGGGTGAAGGGCGTGGCCTCCGGTGGCCTTCCCGGTTCTTTGCAACTTGGCACTCCCGTCACTCACTATGGGGGTGACCTACAGGGAGTCACTGGGCCTCCTGAAGACCCAGTTTCCTCATCTGTAAGATTGTTGTCAGGGGCCGCTGAGTCGGTACCAACCCTTAGTGACCCCGTGTACAACAGAACAGTTGTCCTGTTCTGTTGTCCGGTCCGGCGCCGTCCTCGCAGTGGTTGCCGTGTTTGATGAGCCCATGGTGGCAACCACTGCGTCCATCCACCTCGTTGAGGGTCCCCCTCTTTTTCGCCAACCCACTGCTTCACCGAGCATGGTGTCTTTCTCCAGCGATTGGTCCCTGCCAATGACATGTCCAAAGTAAGCAAGATGAGTCTGCCTCCCTGCTAAGGGGCGTTCTGGCTGCATTTCCTCCAAGACAGACTTCTCCATTCTTCCGGTGGTCCATGATGTACTCGTGTTCTTGGCGAACACCACCATTCAAATGTGTCAATTCTTCAGTCTTCCTTTTTCTTTGTCAACCTTTCCCATGCATGTAGGTCCTTGCTTGGCACATAGTACCCACTGCCATCAAGTGATTTCAACTCATAGACCCTGCAGGAAGGAGTAGAACTGCCCCATAGGGTTTCCAAGACTGTAATCTTTGCAAAAGCAGACTGTCTTCATCTTTCTCTCATGGAATGGCTGGTATGTTGCTTGGAACCGCTGACCTTTCAGTTAGCAGCCAAAAGCTTAACTACCATACCAGTAGGGCTCCTGGCACACAGTAAACTCAAAAACTCACTGCTGTAGAGTTGGATCCGATTCAGAGCGACCCCTCCTTGGGTTTCTGAGGCAGTATCACTATGGAAGTAGATTGCCCAGTCTTCCTTCTGAGGAATGGCTGGTGGGTTTGAACCGCCAGCCTTCTGGTTAGCAGTCAAGTGCCTTAGGCACTAGGCTACCAAGCTTCTCCTGGCACACAGTAAGGGCTCGATAATTGTTAGTCATTAACTTGATGACACCTCCATGGCCTGAGTCCATGCTGACTCACAGTTCAGAGCCCTCAGGGCAGGTATCCAGGCTGCCAGGCTTCTCCCGGCATCTCACTGCCTCCTCCTGAGCCTTCAGCCCTTTCCTTCTCCACGCTCCCCTATTGGAGCTCACACTCCCAGAGGGCGGGGCCAGGACACCGCCTCCTTGCAGCATTCTGCTGTATTTCTCTTTCTTCTCCCAGGCAGGGATCCCAAAACCTTTTCAACGTGGCAGGCAGATCAAGGAAGACAATTCCAGGGGCAGCTGCCTGGCTTTGGTTCTGGTCCACACTCCAAACCCTGCCCCTTGGGGAACAGGCCAGCCCCATTTCTAAGGTCCCTGAGGAGAGTCACACCCATAATGGGTAATTGCTATGCAGGAGAAAGCAAGAGCCAGAAGCCAGAAGAAACGGTCCCCTGCAGGGTTTTGCAGGATGAAGAGGAGTTCTCCTGGTGGGCCATGGAAGAGGGTTTCGTGTTGGAGGAAACAAATGCACCCGAGGCCAGAGGCCACGAAGGGAGAAGGGCTCACCTCCCAGACATTTCACAGCCCCCGCTTCCCCCCAATACACCCCATGGGGTGGCGTTCCTGTTGCCCTCTGGGAAACTCACCTCTCCACCAGGCGAGAGCAATGCCCGCTCCTCCAGACCCTGATTGTGAACGTGAACATGTTTGAGTTCTGTACTCAAGGCTGCTGTTCATTCATTCATTCAACATACATTCACTGAACCCCTACTGTGTGCTGCTGGGTGTTATTCTAGGTGCTGGGGAGAGAGTCGGGAACAAGGCAAAGTCCCTGCCCTCGATTTTCTGATGTCCTCGTGTGGCAAGACAGACAAAAAGCCAGTCTACAGATAACCATGTAATGTGCCACCATAATGCAAGGTCTGGAGAGCGACCAGTGAGGGGGATGGTCAGAAAGAGTCCTCAGGAGGTGACATCTGAACAGAGACCTGGAGGAAGTGAGGGATGGAATCTTTTCAAGATCTGGGGAAGGGCTTCCAGATGGAGGGAACAGCATGTGGGAAGGCCCTGGGGTCGGAATGAGGTTGGTGTGTTCCAGGGACAGAAGGGTGTCACTGGGCCACGTGCAGGAAGGAGCAGCGGTAGGTGGTGATGGGGATGGGCAGGAATGCGGGCTTTATTTCGAGAGTGGCAATGGGGAGCCAAAGCAGGCCTCAGAGGAGGGGAGTGAATCCGGTCCGGCCTCACCCAGACCCTCTGGCTGTTGCCGGGGAACACACCCCAGGGGGAGGCTGTGTTCTCTGCTCTGTCTTCCAAGCCGCCCACACCCCCGTCCTGAGGCTGCACCTCAGGGTTTATGACTGGAAGAGTGAGGACTTTGGAGCCAAACAGATGGGGTCTGGATTCAGGTGGAGTCGCCCTGAGCAAGCCCCCTGCCTCCCTGAGCCTCTTTCCTCAACCAGAAGTGGGGAGGGAACTGTAATGGAGGTCAAGCCCCAGCCACACAGTGGGGGCTTTGTGCAGTCCCAAGCCAGGCCTTTTGGCTTCTGTCTCTCTCCAGTCTTTCTGGTAAGGGGATCAGCCCATCAGCCCTTGGTCACCCAGACTGGGGGATAGTCACGGAAGGAGAGAGGGAGGTGGCCAAATGCCCTGGGGCCCTGAGCTCCAGGAGGAGGGGAAAGACTGCACCTGAGACCTACTGTTGTTGCTGTGAGCTGCTGGAGAGTGGGCCCTGACTCACGGTGACCCCACACACAACAGACAAGGCTGCCCCGTCCTGCGCCAGCCCCATGATCAGTGGTGAACCGGGCCCCTGTGAGTCACAGGGTTTTCACCGGAAGTGGACTGCCTGCCCTTTCTTCCTGTTGTTGTCGTCATGTGCCATGGCGTCTTCTCTGACTCTGCCTAGTTCAGCTTATTTTAGGATACCCACTGAAACCTGTTCCGCATCACACCCACATGCAACCTCCCCTGACTGACAGGAGAGGCTGTGCTCAGGTGCACTGGCCAGGAATTGAATTCAGATCTCCCCCAAGGAAGGCGAGAATTCTACCCCTGAACCATCACTGCCCAAAACCAGTTTACTGAGGAGTCAGCCTTGATTCACGGTGACACATGTGTGTGAGAGGAGAACTGGAGGGCTTTCAATGTCTGATTTTTTAGAAGTAGGTTACCAGCTTCTCTTCCGCAGCGCCTCAGGGGACTCCGTGGGACCTACAGGAACACCTGAAGCCCCCAGGGTAGGATGGGACGGGGCGGACCGAGGCTCCCATCACAAGGAGCTGGCTAGATGGAGAGAGGTGGGGACTGACACCCCAGACATCCAAGGGCGACGGGGAGCAAAGGAAGCAAGGTGCAGCCTCCCTAGGGCAAGAACCCACTTCTGTCTTCAATGAGGAGACTCCAGGACCCACCTTGTACACCAGGAAGAATGGGGTGCCTGGGGCGTCCACACGCTCCTTAAAACACTGCTGTTCCCGTTACATTGTAAACCAAGGACACTTACTCTTGTAACTTGAAAAGAAATGTGAATATATAAGCCGCCCATACGGGCTATATTGTAGAGAGGCTGACCTAGAGGTGTACTTTGGGATTGGGGCACCCAATCTGGTGGAATCTAGAGGATGCTGCCTGGCGAGCAGGATAGGGGAGGGGGCCCGGGGCCCGCGGCCAGGCGGCACCCCGCACCTGCAGCCCCATCCCGGGCTCCGCTCCTCTGCCCCAGAGGGCTACGGAGGGCCTTCCCGCGACATCGTATTTACAAGCTCCGAGGGCCCTTCCCCGCTGTGGGGGCGTGGCCCGCCCCGCCCCC